ATTTCAATTCTATTGCTAGTGTTGCAGTGATTTCAAGCACACTTGAAACTCCTCTGTACACTGCCCTATTTCACTTGTTCACCTACAAAAAGGACCTATATTACATTCTCTTCTAAACATCCACACCTCTCTCTTTTGTCTTCTTCCTGTGATTTTAATATAAAAAAAGTGTACGACATTCTTTACATATATTACTTCTATGTATCGTATCTTTCTCGTTCCACCGCTTCGAAACCAAGTAACAGAGGAGGCAGATCCTTCCATCGGAGATTTCCTTGTTTCGGATATTATGTTACTTGCAGGAGACGTACAAAAGAAAAGTAACGAAAGAGGCCTAAAAGGGCTTTGCTTATGTATAGATTAGCAGACTGTAACCTAACTAAACTCTTCTATCATGTGTGTTGATGCGCCTAAATGACAGCGGATATGCCGCTAGGTACTGTGGAAGAAAGGGCTATCTGGCAGATTGAGTCCGTCACTGCAGATGCATGAACATTCAAAACAATCATTATAACCGAGACAGATAAGATGAACTGGCTTGAAATGCAAAAACTCAATTTGATACAGATCGATTACCAGAAACATGCGATTATCACCGTTTCAATTATTCAAACTAATCCAATAAATAAAATCTCGATCACTAATACTCCCCTTAGCGTAAGCAACACTTGGGGTCGATTACTGCTCTTGTCCAACTATATGTTAAACATGCAATGCTGAAGACAGCTACATACATAGTTCATCCATAGTTGATTTATCGGCTCTCTCCATCCAAGAAGAAATGACTGCTTATCAATGTTGTTGGTTTGAACTTCGAAAAGAGTTCCCCTCTAGCATTGCTAAACGCATCAATAATCAAGCGAATGTTCTTCATTTACGAGTTGTATGTAGCTCCTAGAAAGATTCAATTGATGTGATTCCTATATCTTCTACACTAGGAATGCAAGTCGTCTTCATTTTTAATTGTTTTACTAAACCTCTTTCTTCCTTTTCTACATCACAAATGATTGTTTATCGCAATGGTCAAATAGATTGTGAAACTCATTCCAACCATAAAACATGGTTCATTAAGGTTGAAGAAATCAAGTTTCGTGTTTTAAACGCAATTCTACAGAGCAACAGATCAAGAACCTACATCTTTCCTTTCTTAAAGAGCTAATCCATCTTAACTTACCTTCCAAAATCTGAAAAGTTTAATTATCTCATCGACCTTAAAGTTAAGATTGTTTATCTCTTTAAGAAAGGAAAGATGTACCTTCTGGATCTGATGCTCTGTAAAATTGAATTTAAAATGCGAAAATTGGTTTTTTGCCTTTGATGAACATGTTTTATGTTGAAATGAACTTCACAATCTAGTTGACCATTGCAATAAACTATCATTTATGATAGGGAGAAGAAAGAGAGAGGCTCGTAGAAAGATTAAAGAGGAAAACAACTTACACTCGTAATGTAGAAGATTTAGGCATTTTTCTAGGAGCTGCATACGGCCTGAAAATGAAAAACAATCGATTGATTATTGATACATTTAACAAACCAAGAGAAGGGTTATTTTGGAAGTTCATACCAACAAAATTGATAGGCAACCATTATTTATTGGATGAGGGGAGCCGAGAAATCAGCAATGGATGAACTATGTATGTTACTCTTTTCAGCCTTGCATGTTTGATATATAATTGAATGAGAGTAGAAATTTGCCCCCAGGTATTGCTTACACTGAAAGGAAGTATTTAACTAATCTGGTGAAGCCATGCCGCTATAGAATCCTGACAGAAGCACCAAATCCGCTACGAGAATCAAACATAAGTTTCCTCAGTTAGGAACATCGACCATCAGCAAACAAAAATGGTCGTCGAATGATAGGAGCACCATTGACAAAAGACGATCGTGGAGAAGCTGATGGCTCACGACTCACGGCATCATTACAGATCAAGATTCAACGAGATTCGAAAATTGTTTGCATAAAAGAAAAGGAAAAGTGCTAAAAAGAAGAGTAAAGCACATCGATAGATGGCGGTCGCTCATGCTTAAAGACAGTAGCCACCCTTTGAAGAAGCAAAGGGAGAGAATACATAGAGGGAAGGTAGAGTATTTGCCATAGGGAGAGATGAGTGAGCGACATGAGAAAGAAATAAAAAAAAAAAAATGGAAACAATCTAAAAATGTATCATATATATAATGATGAAATTACAATTATTTAGGGTTCTGTAATTTTGTAACGGCTAATTTTGGTTAAGCTTCTTCAGTTATTAGAGTCGATAAAAGCAAGAAATAATTGTAACGGTTCATTTTGAGTGTGGGATAGTCTAAATGACTAGTTTTGGATACAAGGGAAGTATATGAAAAAAGAAAAAAAGGGTTAATGACGAAGTAATTAAAAAGAAATCAAAACGTCTTATTTTTGTTATGTAACATGACTTTTTTCAATTATTCCACTTTTGTTTTGAGTTGATTTAAACTTACTCAAAATAAAATAATAATAATAATAAAAATAGTTTTGAACTTATGATTTTTAAATATTTTTTTTATTTATCAATGATATTTCATTTAATTTTGAACAAACCGAAAGCACAAAATGAAAATTTCATGATTAAGTAATTGAGGAGCGACAAGAGAAAGAAAGATAAAAAAATTGGAAAACAATCTAAAAATGTATCATATATATAATGATGAAATTATAATTATTTCGGGTTGGTAATTTTGTAATGGTTAATTTTTGGTTAAGTTTCTTCTGTTATTAGAGTAGACAAAAACAAGAAATTATTGTAACGGTTCATTTTGAGTGTGGAATAGTCTAAACGACTAGTTCTGAATATAAGGGAAGCATAACACACACAAAAATGTTAGTGGCGGAGTAATCGAGATAATAAAAAGGAAGAAAAAAAAATCAAAACGTCTTTTTTTGTTATGTCACATGACTTTTTTTAATTATTCAATTTTTTTGAGTCAATTTAAACTTACTCAAAATAATAATAATAATAATGGTTTTGGACTTATGATTTTCAATTTTTTATTTTAAACTTACTCAAAATAAAATAAAAATTAATAAAAATGGTTTTGGATGTATGATTTTTAATTTTTTTATTTACCAATGATATTTTAGTAAATTTGAACAAACCGAAAGAACCTAATGAAAATCACATGACTAAGTAATTGAGGAGTGACATGAAAGAAAGATAAAAAAATTGGAAAACAATATAAAAATGTATCATATATAATTATGAAATTATAATTATTTTGGGTCAGTAATTTTGTAACGATTAATTTTAGTTAAGCTTCTTCAGTTACTAAAGTCGATATAAATAAGAAATAATTGTAACAGTTCATTTTGAATGCGGGATACTCTAAACGACTAATTTTAAATACAAGAGAAGTATATGCACACAAAAAATTGTTAATGGTGGAGTAATCGAACTAATAAAAGGAAAAAAAATCAAAACATCTTAATTTTTTATGCCATATGACTTTTTTTAATTATTCAAATTTTGTTTTGAGATGATTTGGACTTACTCAAAAAATTTTTTAAAAAATAATAAAACTGGTTTTAGACTTATGATTTTCAAATATTTTTGTTATTATCATTGATATTTTAGTTAATTTGAACAAACCGAAAGCACAAAGTGAAAATTACATGATTCAATAACTGAGGCGCGACATGAGAAAGAAAGAAAAAAATTGGAAAACAATCTAAAAATGTATCATATATATAATTATGAAATTATAATTATTTCGAATCAGTAATTTTGTAACGGCTAATTTTGGTTAAACTTCTTCTGTTACTAGAGTCGATATAATCATGACGGGGTAATAGTTGTGGATATAAGTGAAGTAGAAGTAGAGAGAGAAACGTCAATGACAGAGTTACTGACGTGATAAAAAGGAAGAAAAATTTGAAACAATTAATTTTGAATATATCACGTGACTTCAGTTATTAGATTTTCTTTTATGCTGTTTGAACTGACTCAAAATAAAAATGAATAATGAAAAAAATAGTTTCGGATTTATGGTTTTTAAATAAATTTTTATTTGTCTATAATATTTTAGCTAATTTGAACAAAACATAACAGAGTAAGACTTTCAACTCAAAATAATTGACACAATAAAAACAAAAGAGACTAGTTATGAATGTTAGTGAAGTAGAAGCACAAAGAGGATTGTTGCTCAAGGCCAATACTTGTGCTTATAATCCATTGTGTTACATCACCTTATACTTCATTGTGTTACACTCTAACACATGTTATGAATATTCCTCAAGGTTCCTCTCAAATAGTTTCACAAGTAAACTGTGTAATCCATGGTCTAGTAAAAAATCAGATCGAGTATGGCACTTCAAATAATTAAGAACTGAAATATTGACAATTCAAAGTAAACATAAACTAAAACACAATGAATAATTTCCAAAATATTTAGGTACGACTTTGAATCTCTAATATGAAATGTGCCAATTTAGTTATTGTAATTAATATAGACAAGTAAAGTCCATATCATTGAGTTACATCACCATCTTAATCGCTTAAAATAACTCTAGATTAAAAATTCGATAAATTACAATTTTCATCTCTTATCTAATCAATTTTGTTTCGAGCTTAAAGTCAAAATTGTCTTAAGTTAATCTTATCCAACTATTTACATGTTCACGCTTTGAGTTGAGATGAAAATATCTTACAACCCAATGGAGGGACTTGTAGCCACATGAAAGATAGGCAATAATAGTGGACCTTATCAACATCAAACAAAGATTTATAAGGATGTGTGGTCTTTTATCAAGGCTTGTCCTTTACATAGTATTCTAATGACGTCCCTTGTTCATTGAGATTCCACATGCCCTTCATGTTCTGGTAATAAAAACAAGGACTGGTCATACTAGGAAAAATTTAAACTTTGCTGGTTGAAGCCAATTTATCTGATGTCAAAAATGATTTTAACTTTTAACAGTCATTGGATGAGAATGATCATCAACAGAAACAATGAGATGTTGGAAGATAAAGGAGGAATGCATATCATCAAAGTATAGTGCAAGGGCTTGGATGGGGATCGGTGACCACTGTAAAAAACTCTGGCTGATGCTGTGGAGGCATGCAACATATAATTGGACTACTAATGAACTTAGGGTCTTTCTTCTCTTCATCTTTTTTACCTGCATCTTTCTTCTCTTCAGCCTTTTTGTCTTTCACTTCTTCCACTGTCTCCAAGCTTGCATGGCAAAGCTGTTTTCGCAATGAACTAGTCAAGCACACTGCATCGACCCCGTCTCCGACTATCATCAGTTTATCTTTCCCTGGACAATGTAACGCCACTGATACCACACCTATGCCATTAACAAAATAAACATAAAACTAAAACACCGAATCTCTTTTGATGGATTTGGTCGAAAAACATATATACATGCATACATACCATCTGTTGCAGCAGCTATTTTGAGAGCCTTGGTTCGGCATTTTTCACTGTGCATTGATACCTTAATAACAATCTTTTGCTGCAACATCAAATGAAACCATTAAGAATGTTTTTGAGATTCCTATTTTCTTTTGGTTGGGTGGAAGAAAACTAGTGCTTCACCTTCATAGTTTTGAGATTTCACCCGAATTGTTGCTTTGTTTGATCTAGAATTATAATTGCTAGAAGAAGCACTACCAATGAGTCATTTTATAATGTTATCAGACCCAAAGGAGGCTAACAGCAAGAAACAATCTGTTAGGCACATCTGGCGGAAACATAGCATTTCTCTTTTTTACTTTAACGAGTTTGAACTTTAACCCCACCTTTAGAAATGGTAAAGAAATACATTTTTTATTCGAAACTTGACACATGATTATATATTTTTCCAGGTAGTTGGTAAACAATACAAACATATTGATAGCACTACCAATGAGTCATTTTATAATGTAATCAAACCACTTTGCAAGTAATTAGTAGGACTATCGACAGTAGAATTGCTTTGCTGTTATTGCTTAGGAGCCCAAAGATTCAACATAGATTGGAATCAAATGCAGCAGATTTTCTGGCCTTTTATCCAATAGCCAATGTAGGAAAGCCCTTGGCCCAACAACCTTTTACCTCTATAATTTTCTTTTTTTCGATTGACTCTAAATTTTCAAATTTCAATTCAATTCAATTCGAACTCAGAGACTGATTCGATAGTTCAAGTTGTCTCGAATAACTCAAAATAAAAATAAAAACAAATTTTCCAAGTTGAGTCGACTTTTATTCAATCCTATTTTCAATCCAGCAAGCGAGTTTATTGTAACGTATCTTTAACTGCATAGGCGATTTATTAAATCCATCAATTTAATTCATTTTTATTCCTTAAGATAACATATAGACACAGACCAATTCCTAACCACATTGAGATTATCGATAGAACAATATAGCCTACTTTGATGGTTACAATGTTGCCACCTATGTTTTTATCACCGCCCAATTTGAAACCCTGATTTGTGAATAGGATGGAAAGGAATTAAATTTTCTATCTTCAACCAATATAGTTTGTATTGTTTACCAACACTATCCCCATTTAACTGGTTTCACTTGGCTAAAGTTAGATAAATTGTAAGCAGCCAAAGTTGATATCAGATATCTAGGATTGGGTAGGGTTATGCACTATCTTCCAACAATAAGAGCCACAAAACGAATCCAATAGCTTTCTGCCTTTCATGCCATTTCATCCAACAACTTGCTGACAAAACAGAACATGCAATTTGAGAAAAGGGTTTATTTTCTCAAACAAAAATTGGGGTTTCCATTGTGAAAACATCATCCCCAAAGTCCAAAATATATTCCCTGTTCTAACTTGTCTCCACTTTGAACCAAAGTGAAAAGAAAATGCTGAAAGGTGAGAATAATATAAGATACCCCACCAAATCCCCCACCAAAAAGGGGCACCATCTTCTCCAAAGGCCAATAGCTCTTGGCAACAAGCCGACAGAGCATCATCGTCGACCATCATTTTATTCTGCAATACATGCCCTTCCAAATGCTACATTCCATCAAATTTTGGAATTTTACTTCTTCCTATACCTCAAACACATTGCCACATAACTCTGCCTTTTTGGACTTTGAATCTTAGCGGCCGGTTCTACGTGCCTTTATCTTTTACATCATTGAGAAACCACTTAAAGGAGCTTCATCACATTGAATAGATTAACGATTTCAACGCTTACTACTGTACCCTATATATATATAGGAATATAGCAATATCAAATTATCTTATAGCGTTTTATTTAGTACCTTTGATAGGAAAATGGGAAGGCAGAGTGAACTGGCCGTTCATTCATCCATTGCCCTCTTGCAAGAGAGGTTCAGACAGTTGCAGAGAGCCAAGGAAATGAGGCACGAGAGAGAGGTCTTGTGGCTGCTCTTCAAAGCCGAGCAGATCAATCCAACCACACATCATCAGGCACCCCAATCGTTTTTCCATTCTGAATTGATCCTTCAGCCTAGACCACCTCTCCAAGGATCTATCTACAGTCAAACTAGCATGCATGCTCAGCATCATCAGGTTATTGATACTTCAAGTTTGTCGAATTTACGGCCGAGAGATACTGTTATGCATCAGGCATCCACTTTTAATGATTCAGATGTTGACACTTCACTTCATCTATGAAAAATTGTACAATGTTAACCTTAACCTCTTCTTGTGGGATTGTAAGAAATGGGGAAGGGGAAGAGGAGAGTGTTCAGAGGGAAATTAGTGACAAATAGTATAATATTAACTACAGTTCTTTGAGACTATAATTATCCTCTTTATAATGAGTAATTACATAGTGGTTTGAGATGTCTTCTTACCGGCATCGTATTATTGTCAAATAAATCATTCTTCTAAAAAATAAATAAATAAATAAATAAAGGAAAGAGCAATAGAGTCGGTCCACAGGGATTTTAGAGTTTTTATGGTTGTGAACTTCTTGACTTAGATCTGAATAAGGATTAAAAAATATAGGGATTTGGAAAAAAAGTGAGATAAGATAGAGATGAGAGAAAAAATGAGTTTTAAATTGTTTAAAGAAATAATATGAGATAAAGATTAAATAAATAAATTGAAAACTAAATTGAGATGAAGAAAACTTATAGTGAAAAACAACCTTCGGCTTCAGCTTTTTCCTTAATTCAAATTGATCATTGGAATATATTTTCACTTTGGATATCTGTCGGTTACAGTCTACAGGGCCAACCCCTGTAACTTGTTTCTCACTCTAGTAAACCAAAAATCTAAAAGCTATCTTTGAATTCAGTCCTTATGTGGACTAACTACAACTATCGTCGTCAACTCCAACTCAGTTTTAAAAGCTTTGGAAAAACCCGATCTGGACTATGTTGTCTCAATGAGAACCGAGGCCGATCTCAATTTCCCTTAGCAAACCACTGCTAAGTGTGTTCACAGGAAGTCGAATTTGCTGTCAGCCGATTCTTCCTCCCAACTTTCAACAAGAACAACATCCAAACCCCGACAAGCTCTTTTAAATTTAAAAGCATTTTGATTTTAAATGATAGGTCGATTACTTATCCTTTTTCTCCAGAAAATTAAGAAAATAACCTGAAGGTATTTTAACTGTTTTTCAATCCTCACAATAGGAATTAAGTCTTTGCTTTAGCCCTTGGCTTATGGAGAAATTATCTAAGCATGAAAATCATATTTAGCATCTTAAAAAATAAAATGGCATTTTTCGTAATTTAAAACAAATTACTGTAAACAGTGAAGTCATCCATGAAGACTTCAATACCTTTCTTGATATAGTAGGAAATACTAATCATACACCTTTGGAATGTGGCAGGTGCATGACAAAGTCCGAAAGGCATATGTCGGTAGCCAAATATGCCGAAGGGACATGTGAATGTCATCTTTTCCTGATCTTCTGGTGATACTAGGATCTAGAAAATCCTGAAAAGCCATTAAGACAACAATAATGAGATTTATCAACTAACCTTTCTATCATTTGGTCTATAAATGGAAGAGGAAAATAGTCTTTTTGGGTTAATGAATTCAACTTTCTGTAATCGATGCAGACTCTACATCCATTCTGAACTCTTGTCGGAACTAACTTACATTCCGAATTTTCAATTACTGTAACTCTGATTTTCTTTGGGACCACGTGGACTGGACTTACCCAATTACTGTATGAGATTGGGTAAATTACATATGCATCAAGAAGTTTTTGGATCTCTTTTTTCACCACTTCCATCATAGGTGGATTTAATCGGCAATATCCTTCCCTTGACGATTTTGCTCCTTCTTCAATCTTGATTATGCATGCAAGTTGAGGGATTAATTCCCTTAATATCAGTAATAGTCCAGTAGATTGCCCTTTTATGCGCTCGTAACAATGTTACCAAGTCATCCTCTTATTCTTTCGATAGCTTACTTGAGATAATAACCATAAAAGTTTCGTTTTCTTCCAAAAATTGCATACTTCAAGTGCTCAGGTAATTTTTTTAAATCAATTTGAGGTTCCTGTATAACAGAAGGTAACAACTTAGGATTTGAAGGAATAAAACATGAATCAAAATTAATCGAAAAAAGTTCTTCAAACTCTCTGGTTTCATAGTCAAGTTCTTCCAATTCCCTGCACATATTATCAACAATGTTAGATTCTATAAATTTGTCAACGGCATGCTTAATGACATCAACAAAGTTTATACTAACAATATTATCAGGATAGCGCATTGCTTTGTATACATCAAATTTTACGATCTCACCATCAAAGTCCAATGTAAGAATTCCATTTCTTACATCAATTTTCGTATTTGATGTGCTACAGAAGGGACGACCCAGAAGTATCTCGGAACAATTATTTGTTCGGTCATTTTTCATGTCAATGACATAGAAATATGCTAGAAATATAAGTTCATTTACTTTAACTAAGACATCTTCCAAGAGTCCTTTTGGATATATTATCGATCGATCCGCCAGATGTATTGTCACTCTTGTATCCTTCAAGGGCACTTTAGAAAGTAAGTTGTACACAAATAAAGGCATAATATTTATAGAAGCTCCTAAATCGCACATTGCACATTTAATTCCAACTTTACCAATTTTGCAAGGTATAACAAACATACCTTGATCTTTTAACTTTGGTGGAAGCTTTTGTTGGAAGAAAACTGAAACATGCTCTCTCAAATTCACATTTTCTGTTCCGGTAAGCCTTTTTTTTGTGGTACAGAGGTCTTTAAGAAATATAACATACCTTGGTATTTTTTGGATTACGTCAAGGAGAGGTATGTTGATTTCAATCTTTTGGAATACATCCAAGATTTCCTTTTCTTCAGCTTGTTTGTCTCTTTTTACTAATCTGGAAGGAAAAGGTGGTGGAGTTTCATAGGGAGATGGTGTCAAATCGGACTTTGAAACTTCTTTCTTATTTCTTTGGGGATTTATGTCAATCCCTTTTCCCTTAGGGTGTATACAACAAATACTTCTTCTTATATTTGGGATCTTCTTCATTCCTTTGTGGGCTTGCTCCTACTACTTATGGGATTGGCAGTTCCATTATCGTACCACTTCGGAGAGTGATGACGCTTACATTCTCTCTTGGATTTGACTCTGTTTGATAAGGTAACTTTCCTTGTGATTCTAACCTTCCCACTATTTAAGTTAGTTAGCTAATCTGCTTGTCTAACTCTTAAAAATGAGCTTCAATACGATTTTGGAATTTTTCCTGGGACAAGGCCAAATGTTCAACAATTGATTACAGAGAGGATTTTTTGGTTGAAACGTTTTTGGAGGCCTTTGCTGATAGGCTTGATTCTTCCTTGGTTTTTGTCTATAGCTTAGATTTGGATGGTATCTCAATCTTGGATTATATGTATTGGAGTATGGGTTGTAGGGTCTTTGGGGAGGTCCTGGAAAGTTCCCTACAACATTTGATTATGGGCCAACTTTCTCCTATAGCATTGGATAACAGTCTGTCGGATAGTCTGACATTATGCATATTCCACATACTCTTGCTAATCCAATTTTCCCTGCAACCAAAGAATTAAATACATCAATTGACTTATCGATTTTGTTTTCTAAGGAAACAATACTTATCTCGTGAACCCGTCGGCTGGGTTCACTTGAAGTGCCAAACTGCTAAGAGTTGGAAGCCATTGTCGAAATTAATTCCCTTGTTGCAGCTGGTGTTTTGATCACAAGAGCTCATCCACTAGCAGTACCTATAGTTTTCATCTCCATTAGAAGCAGCCCTTCATAGAAATACTGGAAGAGTGTTTGCTCGGATAATCCATGCTATGGGCAGCTAACACAAAGCTTCTTAAATCGCTTTCAGTAATCGTAAAGCGGTTCTTCATCCTTTTGTTTTATTCCTAGAATACTTCTCCTTAATTCAGTTGTTTTTGTTGTTGGGAAAATCCTATCAAGAAAAGTTTGAGTTAAATCGGCCCAAATATTTATAGAATTGGGAGGTAAATAAAATAGTCATTCTTTAGCTAAACCAGATAAAAAAAGGGAAAGCTCGTAGTTTTATTTGGTCTTGAGATACTCTCTAAGGTTTCATGCTTGAACAGACCATATGAAACTCTGTGAGATGTTTGTGTGGATTCTCACTAGGGAAACCATGGAACATAGGAAGAAGATGAATAAGGCCCGTTTTCAGAGTAAATGAAGTTTCACCTTGAGGAAAAGTGATGCAGAGGGGTTGTTGTACGGTAGGTGCCTCAGCTAACTGGCGAATCGTTTGATCTGCCATTAATTCTGGCGTGTTGTCTGTGCCTAGTGTATCTTCGGTTATCCGTTCTTTGTTTGTATTAAAGGAAGATGATCCTTCAGGATTTAACTCTTGATCTAATTGCTCCAGTTGTCGTTTTCTTCTTTTTTCTCAAAGCATTTTGCGTGAATTCGTCTGGCTCGAGCTTTGATTTCTGGATCAAATTCTACCAAATCATCTGGATTACTTCTGGTCATAAATAAAAAGGAAACAACTTTATCAATTACTTTAGTCGAAGTCCCCGACAACGACGCTAATTTGACAGGCGTCGTATTACTGTCAAATAAATCTTTATTCTAAAAAATTAATAAATAAAGGAAAGAGTAGTGCACATAAGTAGGGCCGGTCCATAGGGACTTTGGAGTTTATGTGGTTGTGAACTTCTTGACTTAGATATGGATAAGGATGAGAAAATATAAGGATTTGGATAAAAGTGAGATAAAATAGGGATGAGAGAAAAAAGGGGATTTTTAATTGTTTAAAATAATAATACTTGAGATAAAGATAAGATAAATAAATAAATATATTGAGATAAAGAAAACTTATGATGAAAACAACCTCAGACTTTAGCTTTTGCCTCAAATTCGAATTGATCCTTGGAATAGATTTTCACTTCGGATATTTGTCGGTTACATATATAGGGCCCAACCCCTGTAACTTGTTTCTCTCTTTTGTAAACCGAAAATCCAAAAACTATCTTTGAATTTCAATCCTTATGAGGACTAACTACGACTATCGTCGTTAGCATCAACTCAGTTTTAAAAGCTTTGGAAAACCCAATTCGAACTATGTTGTTTCAATGAGAATCGAGCCCAATCTCAATTTCCAAGTGTGTTCATAGGAAGTCGAACTTGCTACCAGCTGATTCTTCCTCCCAACTTTAAACCATAACAACATCCAAACCAACGAACTCTTTTTTTTATTTAAAAGCGTTTTGATTTTAAAGGATAGGTCAATTACCTATCCTATTTCTCTAGAAAATTGAGAAAATAACCCGAAAGTATTTTTGGTGCTTTTCAATCCTCACAATAAGAATTGAGTCATCACTTTAGCCATTGACTTATGGAGAAATTAGCTAAGTATGACAATCATACTTAGCATCTTTAAACATAAGAATAAAAACAATGAAAACTTTGAAAAAGAAAAGAAAAACCTTTATAAAACCCAAAGAAGAAGAATAAATTATGAATGTGTTTTCAGACTTACATAGCCTTCAAAATCCCTAAAAATAACAACAAGATAATTCCTAAAAATAAGAGATAATTCCTAAAGATAATTCTTGAAGCGCTGACTGAACCTTCTTGAAGGTACCGACTCAACGCCACGTCAGATATGTCATGCCTACTAATTCAACATTAAAATGAAAAAAACTATATAATTATGTCATTTTAATGTAATTTCCAGAATCTAGTGTAATATACAGAAAATGAATCAAAATAAATAACTCAACTACAAAAATCAATAACAAAAGAAAAATTTAAAGACAAAATAATAACTAAATAAATTTTTAAACTCAAGAAGGAACATCGAACAAATTTTTAAACTACATGAAATGTCGAATAGTTGCATTCCTTGATTATCACGTATGACACTGCCACACGTGACAACCCTATCATCCCATTTCATTGTCTCATCAATATTCACTTTTACCCAACCAAGGAGATAATGTCTCCAATGCATTAAAACGTGTAATCCGCGGCAGTCTATTCTCTTTTCTCGTAGAAGCCCTAAAAAATATAACGGTATGCAGCTTCAAAATACTCTCAAGATCAAACTCGTATCTCACATAAAACTCATCAAATATCCCTTCATTTTATTTATTTCATAGAATCCAACAACAAAACATCAAAAATTATTTTAATTTTAATTGACATTAAATATTAAATTTGATAATAAATAATTTGTTTTTTCTGTATAATAATAATAGTAATAATAATGAATGTTACAAAAATCACAAATTTAAAAAAATAGAATTTAATTTTTCAAAAAATGTTTTGTTTAGAACTCAATATTTCATCTAAAGATCGAGTAATAGAAATCGAGTATTGCAGAGATTATTAATGAACATGATTCGTTCAATTTAATTTACTTCATTCACAATATTATAATTTAAATGTTTAATCTAACTTGTTCGATTTGCTCTAAATATATGTTTCATGCTAACTATGAATTTCATACATAGGAATACAAGTAAAACATAATTCCTATATTTTTATCATCACAATACAATAAAAACATCTTTATTTCATTAAACAGTTTACGGCTTGAAGAAAAGTATTAATCACCCTTTATATGGCTTATGAATGGTTGGAATTAAGATTAAATTGTCTTTCCTTCTCACTGTTACACCAAAGGCCTCAGTCATATCCAAATTCTCATGTCTGATTCCATTAGGAAGCTCCCAATCAAAATGGTAAAGCAACTTAGCCAAAGGCAGCTCAATGTTAGGAAGTGCATACAATATACCTGGGCAGATCCTTCTTCCTGCACCGAATGGAATGTACTCTAAATTTGTTCCCTTGTAATCACTTGAACTATTCAAGAATCTTTCAGGATAAAACGTTTCCGGTTCGATCCAATAATTGGGATCTCTTGCAATAGCCCATGCGTTGATGATGACCCTTGTCTTTGCAGGTATCTGATATCCATTGATTTCACAATTCTCTGTACTTTCTTTTGGGATAAAAAGAGGAAATGAAGGATGTAACCTCAAGGTTTCTTTGATTACTAATGTCAAGTATTTTAGTTCTTGTGTATTTGCTTCATCCACGTTTCCTTTTCCTTTATAGACGCTTCTTACCTCGTTTTGTGCCTTTTGTAGCACTCTTGGATTCCTCATCATCTCTGACATGGCCCAGTCGACAATTGTTGATGATGTCTCACTCCCCCCACTGAAAATATCCTGAACGATTATGAGCCAACATTAGTTAAAAAACCAGAACATAAAATATGGTAGATTCTAATCTAAACAACAACAAAAACCTGACATACTAACCCAAATAATCGCTTTGATGTCGTTGTCTGAGAGGGGAAGTTCGAGCTCACCAAGTTGCTGAATTTTTAAAAGAACAGTTATCAGATCTTCCTTGGTTTCTTTTTCATCATCACCTATTTTGCCTCTCTCCAATCTCTCTCTATGTTCATCGATGATTAATTGAAGAATCTTATCGCTCTTTTTAAACAAAGTCTCGAGTCTTTTGCTCATTCCACTCATCAGTCGAAGCACTTTGAAAGAAGGGTACATGTCTGCGATACTAAACCCGGAAGACAGTTTTACCATTTCCTCTACAACCGATGAGTACGAATCCTTATCGTTGTACTTACTACCGAATGCTGCTCTTGATGTGATCCCATATGTTAAGCCAAATATTTTCTTGCTAAGGTTGATCGGCGACTCTTCATTAGATGATATGTATTTAACGAGATTTGACACTTCCTCTTGTCTAATGGATTCGAATGACTTGACTCTTTTCGCAGTAAAAAGCTCTAAGGTACAAATTTTCCGCACTTGCCTCCAATAATTACCGTAGGGTGCCATGGCAATATCCCTGTAACCGTAAGTAATGGTATGTATAGCAATCACGTAGGGTCTTTGAGAAAAGATTGTACCATGTGTTATCAAGGCTTCCTTGGCAATTTCCGGCGAAGAAACAACGATGTTGGAAGTTTGACCGAGCTGAAGGTGCATCAGTGGTCCATGTTTATTGGCAAGGTCTCTCATGATACGATGCGGTAGTGAGCCGACCAGTTGATGCAGGTTCCCAATCAAGGGTAATTTCCATGGCCCTGGTGGCAGCTGCTGGGTGTTTGAATATAAGGTTTTCACTTTCTTTGCTATATTAACCACTATTGCCAAGAAAAGAAAGGAAGGCAACAAGGTTAACAAAGAGGGAAATTGAAGCTCCATTGTTAATGAGGGATACCATCCAATGAGCAAGAAGAAACTGGATTTTAAAGATCAAAATCGGATCAAAATTTTGTGGGATTTAAGTCAACAGAAAGGGGTCCGGCTTTAATTACAAATACATGCACAAAAACTACAACTTATAATCATAACTAATATAATAAGTACCATGTTGGACGAAAGTTATATCTGTACATAATAAAAATAAATTGTTATTGGACTTTGATTTTAAAGAGTGGGTCCACTTTCTTAGACTATGACGTCAAACACTTGATTTTCAAAGTAATTTGTTCAAGTTGAAGGATGAAAAATTAAGTAATATAAAAATGAGGGCAATAATGATAAAATGGTGCAAGTGTTTATTGAATATAATACAAGATATTGATGGAATCATAAGTACCCTCTTGCCCAACATTTATATATATTCAAGTCAAAGCGGTTGCGAACCATAAATACCCACTTAGCCATCGTTTAGATAAGTCAAAGCAGTTGGGAGACCAAGGGTTTATTTATTTGAAAATTATAATCAATCGAGCCCTTCTAATTATTGTTGTTATTAATCCTAATAATTATCTTTATGTAATCAACCGAATCAAACGATCTCAATATTAAAAGAATGATTGATATCTTTAAAATCTTAAGTTTGAACACATTGTTTGCATCAAGGTGTTTGAATATTCTTTATCGAATAGTTGAGCATTTCGAACAGATATTGCATTGTTGTAATCACTCCAGACTAATAAAAAATTCATTTTCTTTGAAAATTATTACAAATCCAAAAAATCTTAAAATAATAAAATATAATAAATAATTATTTTGAATTATAAATAATTTTAATAATTATAAAATATAAAATTCTATCAAAATATAAAAAAATATCTTAGTTGAGTCAAGGTGAATCGATAATATTTATTATAGTCAAAGTCCAATTGGAATAAGATATAGATTAGAGATTACTTTTGGTGGATATCCATCTTTTTTTTTTCTTTTTGGTCCTTTGATTTGAAATTTATATCATGTAGTTCTGTTTAGAAGATTGAAGACCCATGGTTACTTAACAATGGGCAAATATAAGGTCACTTATCATCGTTGATTTGATCCTCCTTATGATTATTCTAATAAAATATAAGGTCGGTGCATTTCTGATTAATTTATCTGATTTTGTCGCGTTTACTGCAGGTTTGCCTGACGTGAGGAGTGGTAGTAATGCTGGACAATGTTTAAATCCAGCTTTTGTGAACTCCTCAGAGAACCTGTTGGACGATGCCGAGAAGGCATCTGCTGATCAATCTGCACACTTTAGCAAGTCTCAGGTACTGTTAAATGTAATTTATTGTTAGAATACCGAGGGCTCTCTTACATTCATGTTGGCTTATGCAGGAAGTTGGGATTCATGCAAGACATATCAGCAGTGTGTCTACATTGGATAGTGGTATGTAATATCAATCTCTTCTATAATATTTTCCTTCAAGAAAAAGATTTAACTGTAAATGTCTAATTGTATCTTCCGATGTTTCCATGAAGAAATGACAGAGGACAATTGGAACCCGATTTGGAAGAACCGAGTGGAAAGTTGGAAAGAAAATAAGAACAAGAAGAAAAAGCCTGCAAAAACCAAGGCTGACACAGAAGCTCAAGTCCCACCTGAGCAACAAATGGAAGATAAACCGTAAGTATTTAACTAAAAAGTAGATTAATGATAAGATTCTATTTAGTGCAGTGTTTGTGTTTATGGTAAGTCTTACTGATATGTTACATATGCATTTGCAGTGTTCCGGATGCTTCCCAGCCCCTCTCGACTATAATTCCAATTTGGAAAAGCAGACTTGCGCCATACCGAACTGTGATTGTTTTGAGATTGATCATTCTCAGTCTTTTCTTCCATTACCGAGTAACCAATCCTGTCGATAGTGCTTTTGCCCTGTGGCTCACTTCAGTCATATGTGAAATCTGGTTTGCCTTTTCCTGGGTGTTGGATCAGTTCCCTAAGTGGTATCCTATTAACAGGGAAACAGACATTGACGGGCTATCTGCAAGGTACAAATCTGTGAATCAAATACGTTCAGACATATCATTAATGATGCTAATAACATGAGTTATCTTACTTCAGCTGATTCAGTATCATAACTATGTAATATACAGTTTGTTACTAAGCTTGTTGTATCAATTACTAGTGAAATATGTATCTGAGACGGAATTTTTTTCGGGGACCGTGGCAGATATGAAAGAGAAGGCGAACCTTCTGAACTTGCTGCAGTGGACTTCTTTGTGAGTACAGTGGATCCATTGAAAGAACCTCCGTTAATCACTTCCAATACCGTGCTTTCCTTCCTTGCCCTGGACTACCCTGTAGATATGGTCTCTTGTTATGTATCCGACGATGGTGCCACAATGCTGTCATTTGAATCTCTAGTCGAAACGGCTGACTTTGCAAGAAAGTGGGTTCCATTCTGCAAAAAGTTCTCCATTGAACCACGGGCACCGGAGTTTTACTTCTCACAGAAGATTGATTACTTGAAGGACAAGGTGCAGCCCTCTTTCGTAAAAGAACGTAAAGCAATGAAAGTAAGTTCCTCAAGCTTTCTTTTGCTATATTTGTTGAATATCTGGAGCACTTTGATATTAGAAGTTATAGGGACAAATATCATATATCGTTTAACAATACATATTTCGATTCGATTGCAGAGAGATTATGAAGAGTTCAAAATCCGAATTAATGCCTTTGTTGCCAAGGCTCAGAAAACACCTGAAGAAGGATGGACAATTCAAGATGGAACTCCTTGGCCGGAAATAACACGCGTGATCACCCTGGCATGATTCAGGTGTTCCTTGGATATAGCGGTGCCTGTGACATCGAAGGAAATGAACTTCCCCGACTAGTTTATGTCTCTAGAGAGAAGATACCGGGTTACCAACACCACAAAAAAGATGGCGCTGAAAATGCTTTGGTGCGTAATACTTATTATAATACCGAGGCGAGCTACATGAAAATTCTTAAATATTCTCTTGCGGTTCGCAACTTACATGAATTAAGTCTTACAGGTTCGGGTGTCTGCAGTACTTCTTACAAATTCTCCATACATCCTCAATCTCGATTGTGACCACTATATTAACAATAATAGCAAGGCAGTTAGGGAGGCAATGTGCTTCCTGATGGATCCACAGGTCGGTCGAGAAGTATGTTATGTGCAGTTTCCTCAAAGATTTGATGGCATAGATTGGAGTGATCGATATGCTAATCGCAACACGGTTTTCTTCGATGTAAGATCAAAGCTAAAACATTTTTCTTATTGATTTAGCTATAACATAAGCCTCTTGATTTCTCACAATTCTTCCGAATTTTCAACTTCAGGTTAACATGAAAGGTCTTGATGGAATTCAAGGACCAATTTATGTAGGAACAGGTTGTGTTTTCAATATGCAAGCACTTTATGGTTATGGACCACCTTCAATGCCCAGCTTGTCCAAGTCCTCTTCCTCATCTTGCTCATGGTGTGGCACTGTGGCTGCTGCCCGGGCAAGAAGGAACCTAAAGATCCATCAGAGCTTTATAGGGATGCAAAACGAGAAGAACTCGATGCTGCTATCTTTAACCTTATGGAAATCGAAAGTAAGTCTAGAATCTTTCAGAAAATTGAAGTTAGACTAATACTTTACCAAACCGTTATTGAATTATTGACACATTTCCGGTTTTGTTCCTGCAGACTATGATGAGTGCGAAAGATCAATGCTGATCTCTCAAACAAGCTTCGGGAAAACTTTCGGTTTATCTTCAGTCTTCATTGAATCTACACTAATGGAGATTGGAGGAGTGGCTGAATATGCCAACCCTTCGAACACTAATCAAGGAAGCAATTCATGTCATTAGCTGCGGTTATGAGGAGAAGACTGCATGGGGGAAAGAGGTTGGAATTTTTTAACATGAAACTTAAATTGTTCTAAGCACCTTTTCAACTTTAATCTCCTTTGCTTAAGATCTATATGATTGTTCAGATCGGATGGATATACGGTTCAGTCACTGGGGATATCTTAACCGGTTTCAAAATGCACTACCGAGGATGGAGATCAATTTACTGCATGCACTTAAGGCCAGCATTCAAAGGATCTGCACCAATCAATCTGTCTGATCGGTTGCACCAGGTTCTTCGACGGGATCTTGGATCGATCGAAATTTTCCTAAGTAGGCATTTCCCTCTATGGTATGGCTTTGGAGGCGGTCGTCTTAAATGTCTTCAAAGGCTAGCATATATCAACACCATTGTCTATCCTTTCACGTCCCTTCCTCTCATTGCCTATTGTTCTCTGCCAGCAATCTGTCTTCTCCCCGGAAAATTTATCATACCGATGGTAATGATTGCTAGTAATTCATGTGTTCTTGTTTAGTTTTCAAGATCATATGAGCTTAAATTGCTTCACATTGTCTAATATGATGATCAGCTCTCAAACCTAGCAAGTCTCCTCTTTCTTGGCCTTTTACTTTCAATCATCGTGACCGCTGTGCTCGAGCTCCGATGGAGCGGTGTCAGCATCGAGGACCTATGGCGTAACGAGCTGTTTTGAGTCATCGGAGGTGTTTCAGCCCATCTCTTTGCAGTCTTCCAAGGTTTTCTGAAGATGTTGGCAGGTATTGACACCAATTTCACTGTCACTGCCAAAGCAGCTGATGATGCAGAGTTCGGTGAGCTCTAAATTGTGAAATGGACAACACTTTTGATCCCCCCGACTGTCGTAGCTGGGTTCTCCGACGCACTCAACAAAGGGTACGAAGCTTGGGGGCCACTCTTTGGCAAAGTATTTTTTTCATTATGGGTCATCCTCCATCTTTATCCATTCCTCAAAGGTCTCATGGGCAGACAAAACAGGACACCAACCATCGTTGTTCTTTGGTCGGTGTTGTTGGTTCTCTCTTGTTTGGGTCCGGATCAATCCGTTTGTCAACACCGCCGGCAGCACCACCGCTTGACATATATTCTTTGACCGAAAATGCCTTATAATATACGATTTTAATCAATTTTTTTTGGATTTGTCAAAATGACCAACTAAATCGTAATGCGATCGATAATTCGCAATGCGATAGTCCAAGTTCACTTTGCGATAG